TATATATATATAAAATAGGAAATTTACATACAATTATTATATATTTACATATGTGACACTAAACCTTATTTTTTACATTTATATCATCAAAATGACTCATAAAAAACTACCACTACTTTAACTTTTAAAAAGTGAAATATACCTTTCATGTATGGTTAAGGTAGCATATGAAAAATTATTCCATACGGATCGGACACCCCCCCCCGCTTGCGGGGGGGGGCCGGCCCCCGCCCGAGACATCCCTTTTTTACGGGCAATGTATTTCGGTGGGCCTCACCTAATTTTTTTTTTATAAAAAAAAAACAGAAATAATCCTGACCGTAGATCACCGTGATCTACGACCAGGATTGAACACCACATACAGAATGCATGCGGTGTCCGCACGCAATAATTCCTCGGTAGCATATATGAAAAAATTGATATGTAAATACATACGAATTGGGGGCCATGTATATCAATCTTCTATAAAACGGGCATTTACATACTACCACTCAATTCTTTTGTATTCTCATATCTAACATCTATACTTTATTTTTTTAAATTTACACCACACAAATATTTCCCATCACATGAAAAATACAACTATTTTAACTTACAAAAAGTAAAACATACCTTTTGCATGGGTAGGAAGGCATATATGTAAAATTGGAGTTTAGGTTCTAGATATGCAAGTACAAAGGAAATTAGCAGTATATATGTAAATTTTCCATAGAAAATATACTCATTAGACACATAGACCAAATTCGGAAGAAATATTGAAATACAACAATAGCAGTAATATAGTTTATTCTAAATGATTTACAAAGAATAAGATTGAAATCTCAGCTTGACAAATTGAAAAATTATGATTTATGCAGCAGAATCTAATGTAATAGAGATAAAACTAATAATGATGATATTTTAATGCAATGGAAGGTAAGCAGCACTGATTAATAAAAAAACCACATATCCAAAATGTAAAAAAAGTTTTTAAGGATGTAGAGAATTACTGAGATTAAAGAAATGACCAGTGCTATCCGGAAGAGGTTCCACCTTTAATACTTTCCTGATTTTGCCTTCTTCGCTGCCACCAAAGAGACACTAATTGATTCCAAGCTCAGGAAGGTTGAAAATATAATATATAAAATGTTGCTGCATCTATATGACACCTTTTGCCTAGCACATGGGATTGCAAATCAAGATAAAGCGTCCCGAAAATGAATAATTATTGTAAAAATATAACTGTGATGAGAACCACTATAATGCATAAGCCACCTTCTCTTTCACCATGATAAAGGCAAAATGCTCAAATTATCTAATGCTTTACATATCTAACATCTAAGGTTATAAATGTAAACCTGGGTATGATAAATGCAAGCCATAGTTTAAATCATATCCTAACCAATTTAAATATGATTTCAATAAAAAAGATAATTTACATTCTATAATCATGTTTTGGTCCGTTTTTTAAAGATATATTAATAATGCAAGTGCTTGAGCTTGCTAATCTCGTTTATATATGAGAGATTAGATTTACAAAGATGTTAATTTTCTTTTTCTTTCAAATACAGTAAGTTTGAAGCATTAATCAAGTCAATGTTGTGCATCGACATTGATCTTATTTGATAGCAATAATGGAGGAAGGCTTGGAGCAAGATTGTCAATAGATGTTATGTTGCATCATATTTTTCTTAGTTTAGATAAAACAAACTTTTTTTTATTTTACATTTGAAGTTGTACCTAAAGATTTATCAATGGCTCAACATTCTAGCTCTTCGTTGGTTCTAGAGCATGTACTGATGATCATGCTTAGCATTTCCATATAAAATAAGGGATGATATCAAATTTAAAAATATTTAATGTATCTTAAAACACTCTAGAATGCTAAAATCAGTTTTACTATTTTTTTTTTATGATTGACATTCAATATTTGAGTATCGTGAAACACCTAGGCATATATATATATATATATATATTATGTTGGACTGCAAGATAGAAATGCATTCGAGAGTTATTTCAGACGTGCCAACGTGGACTCGAAAAGCCAGTCGTGGTTGTTGGAAGGGTTAAATGTGTGTCGTGATTTTAACAGGAATCAGTCGAACGCACGAATCAAAAGTGCATTCAGCAGATGCGGTTCTAAAATCTGACAAAGAAGAGGAATCAATTAAAAAAAAAAAGACACCCTAAATTTGGATTTGTTTCATTAATTTTTCCATAAGTTCTATGATTGGTTGTCAACTTAACATACAACCCTTAACCTTTCGGATCCAAGATTGGAACATTCGATAGCAGGTTTTAACACATAATATGTTATAGTAGGTGGCAAAAAAGAGCATCTCCATCTATTTTGAATTTATGCTTAGAGCCAATTTTAAAAACTCTAAATTTCACCTTCCTAATAGATTAAACAGGAGTTGCATTCTCAAGGAAACATACATGGTTATGATATAAAACTAATAAAATCTAAAAATTGATGAAATAAATGTACTCCCTCATCTCACATCTAGTTTAGCCCAACCATCAACCTATATCATAAGCCCTTTTCCATCGCTATTTACCATCTATTCATGACACCCTCCTCAATCTACTTGGCATTCCTCCTCTATGCAAGAATTACATCCTCAATCTCATGTTCTCCTCCAATCTTCCTCGCCATCCGTACTCTTCATAGGTGTCTTTAATCATTGATTATGGATGTATACTTGTAAAGAATGTGTGTATATATGATGATGTTAAAATATAATGACTTTTTTTTGTGCATAAAATCCTTCTACATTTACAATTAAGACTAATAGTTTTATTCTTCACATAATATATTTTGTAATATGATTCACAACATAGCCCGCATATACCTCATTTTCAAGTATGCATGGTGCAACCAAATAATCAAAATATTTATATAATTTAGTCACTAAGCAATTTTAATGGCTTTGATAAGATTAACAGTCTAGCAAAGGCTCAAGTCTATTATTAAGGGGAAAGAATATTGCACAAATAAACAACAACAAGAAGAAGTCTTTATCCCACTAGGTGGGGTCGGCTACATGAATCTTTTTTCTCTATTGTGGCTGATTGAGTGTCAATACTGCCATTGTCGGGCCTCAAGCCCCGGATGCAAAAAAGTTGATGATTGTGTTAGGTAGTCGACAACCAGTATAAAATTTTTATCAAAAATACCATGACACACTGCATAGATAAACATTTTAAAAACAACAAATTTATGGATGTTTTACAATTACAATTTCAAAGTTATCAGTGTTATTTTAGTCTAAAATTTGTGCATCCCTATTTATGGTTTATCTGACAAACTTTTGCACTATAAAATAAAATAAAATAAGAACTTTCTATAGTAGTTAGTATCCCTAAAAAATGATATAAAGTTGATAAATATTCTCAAAACATATCATCCATAGCAAAACTTCATTCTTGCACGCACGCAACCGAAGAATTTGTGAGTCCAACTCTAAAATTTACTTCCCTAAAAAAGGTACTTTTGCATTCAAATCAATAAACATGTTTGCAATAAATGATGGCTCAACAAAGCCTTATTCAGAGAACTATGTTTGAGAAGCATAAATCTTGATATTCTTGGTCGAACAATCAAGGTCAATTCATAACTAATAAATTTTTTTCATGGAATAAATCACAACTATATATATTATTCATTATTGAAAGTAATTTATTGATAGATAAACAATTATGAAGCTAAATGAAAAATTGGCCCATAGCTAGTTTTGATAGCAAGGATGAAGTTCACCATTATGATTAGCATTGAGTTATTCAAGAATGACAAATGAATGAAAAAAGAAAATGGATTAGAAAGATCTTATTTTATAAATATTTGAATTGGAGTGTATGCACGCGCATTTCTAATGTGTGTGTATGTGTAATTCATGGCCATTTACATTGATCTTAAACAATAAAAATAGTTGTAATGTAAAATTTTATATATTATGATGGTCTTCTTGGGCGTGAAGAAAAAGAAAAACTTGAAAATCTACATATATATATATACTACACGATTTTTATGTATTTATATATATAACACTTAAAGTTTTATATTTACATTTATAATACTTTAGTATTAAGTATTATAAATGTATGAATGAAAAATGGTATTTCACTTTTAAAAAGTTAGTGATAGTAGTATTTTTTATGTGATGACAAAGATTTCAGTGGCATGTATGTAAACATTAAATTTTAGGGGTAAGATTTATAAATATATAGGAATTATGTGGTATGTAAATGCCCCAAGAAAATAACAAAGATATGTGGGTGATATTAGAAGTATTGTTTGAAACCAAAACAATTTATATTTTTCTACATATATATACATATGTATTCATTGAAAAAAATTGATTATGTTGGAGCAACTTCTAATATCTAAAAGAATAAGGAATGTCATCAATTATTGAAAAAGTTTTGAATGTGGCGAACTACCAAGTTTTTGTAGAATCTACTGAGTTCTGTTAGCTTAGTTGTGCAAATGAAAATCAGCATCAAAATTTATATAAACCAAAATAAGGCAAAATATGTTGGAAAAGGGAATAGGTAAGAAGTGATGTATTCCAATCAATGGAATACTAAACTAACTATCCCTCTCTCTCTTCCTCGTGTTGAAGCACCCACAAGCTAGTGCATGTAAGCGAAAACACACTTTATTGTATGCTTGTGTTTACAATAAAAAATACTACGTACTAAAAAATTTATGGCAATAAAGTGAGCTCTATGGCCCTAGTTTTAGGCAAAGAATCTACACAAATAAATAAATAAATGAAAAGAAAACAAAAGGCACTAAAGTATTTACATTAAAAAAAATGGCAAAAAAAACAACTCGGTCAAACAAAATAATGTTTTATACCAATTAAAGATGACAAAGCTCCTTTCAAAAATTTAATAAGAGAATAATAGATTATAAAATTGATGACAATACTAGTTTGATCTTCTATAATTGTGGTGGTTGGGTGAAAACAGACAAATGATGGTAGCCAAACAATGCCAACAGCGATCAGATGGGCTACCAACAAGAACAAGTCTCTATCCCACTAAGTGGGGTCGGCTACATGAATCATTTTTCTCCATTGTGTCATATTGAGTGTCATATTTTCATTAAATTCTAATAGATTAAGAACGTTTTTATACAATATGTGGAAGTTTTTTTGGGTTTGCCTCCGTCTTTATTAACATAAGTTGAATCTAAAACATCATCTCTCCTAACCAGATCATCAAATGGTAGACGTTAATGTGTCATCAAAGACGACACTCTCTAATATTGTCTACCACTGGAGTTCACCAATCCTATCACGAATATATTCATTTCGCATTTTGTCTCTAAATATCAAGTCGCTCATCCACGCATTCTCTTCTCAGCAACACTTGACTTTGTTTTATGCTTCACTTTTAGAGGCCAATATTCTACATCATAAAGCATTACAGGTCTCACCACCATCTTATAAAATCTTCCTTTCAGTTTAAAATGTACTTTTCTATCACAAACTAGGCTCGATGCATTCCTCCACTTCAACCAACCAACTTGAATCCTAATAATGACATTTTGAATCTATATCACATTCACTTTGAACAATAAACCCAAGATATCTAAATTGTTCGCATCTTTTAATGATTTCATCACCCAAAGTTACAACTTTGTCGCTAGAGCTACTGCTACTAAAATTACATGTTATGTAGACCTACTCAGACGAAGGCCTTTGGACTCTAATGTAGACCTCCACAATTCATGTTTTTCCTAAACTCTTTCTCCAGTCTTATCCACAACAAGGATATCATCAGCGAAAAGCATGCAACCATACACCAAGGTGCATCCTCCTGTAAATGTCCAGTAAGAGCATCCATAACTAAAGCAAAAAGATTTGGGCTTAAAATCGATCCCTGATGTAATTAAATTGAAATAGGAAAATCCTTGGTCAATCCTCCTGTTTGAGCACAGCAGCTCCAGTATACTTATCTTTAATGACTTGAATATAAGTCATCAACATATTTCTTTTCCAGAACTCTACAAAGGATTTCTATTAGAATCTTATTGTAAGCTTTTCTAAATCAATAAAAATCATATGTAGAGCCTCCTTACACTCTCTAGATTTCTCCATCAAACCTCTCAATAAATGCATAGCTTCCGTAGTAGACCTGTCCGACATAAATCCAAACTGATTTTTGAATCACGTCTTAACATAGGATGGGCTACCATTGTAGAGTAATGAAATTCTTCATATCTTTAAGTTCTCTCTCAAATTTCAAATTCAAGTCCCTTACATGTGGATTATGGGGCTCTACTTATAATTTTTAGTAATATTTTGATTATTTTGGATAAAATCTCAAACACTCTCAAAAAGCTCATTTTATTTTATTTCATTGGTGATGCATTAAATATTTAAGTGTCTCAAAGACCTCAGAATTGAGTAACATTAAATTTGTTGATTTTCTCTTATCAAGACACTATATCTGATTATAATAATACAAAATTCAATATCATATAACCCTTCGATTATTATCATAAAGTTTTGAATCGTACTTCAATAACTTGATTTGAGCTTATTGAGACTCAAAATTTACCACTCTTGGTGTCCTAAGGATTATCTTGTTAAGACGTTAAATTTAATTATAAGCTTGTTAAATTACAGTTCAATTTAATTAAAGTTTATATTCGCATGGTCAATCAAAATCAAATTTTATTTAGATGGTGTCCTTCATAAAGTCCACTGGTGCAGAGTAAATAAGTTTAATGTGTTGAACATGAACCACCTTTCACGCACTTCTTCCCAAACAAAAAACAATTAATTGTACTAAAACTCATTGCAGTTCAAAAAACACAAAAGGCTCAGACTTAACCACACATTAATATATTTATTTCAATGAAAGTTAATTCCAAAAATCACTTCATGCCACTTATAAACACTTCCAATGAATAAAAAGCTTATTAGCAACTCATATGAGCAGCTAATTTCCATATCTAACAATACTGAGGCTAATTCTTCATCCATTACCTTTTTCCTTTAAAAGGATCATGAAAGAACTCACAACCATCCTTCGCACCAAGACCAATTAGTGTTCCAATCTCACCAACAGATAAGGAGAAAACCTATACAAATTAATCGAATGAGAGTAACGAATACGTTAAAAATCAGTAAATGAAATCATCATTATAGCAGAAAAACAAGAAATCTTATGATATGGTGGAATTTTCTAGTCCCGCAGACCACGTATACGTACGAAGGTGACGTTATGTTATAGGGCCAATAAATAAAGAAAAGTCGCAGTGCATCCATTAAGAAAATGTCCAGTATAAAACCAAAGCATATGCATATTGATATTAATATGTAGGCAAAATTACATACATACCACACAATTCTCATTCATTACATATCTAATACCCACAGTTTTATATTTACAGTTGTAACACCTCTTTATCATAAATCTATACATGAAAAGGCATATTTTCTTTTACAAAGGTAGTGATGGTGGTACCTTTTATGTGATCCTAAAGATTTGAGAGGTATGCATGTAAAGATGAATGCTTAGGTGTTAGATATGTAAATACATGAGAACAGTGTGGTGTGAATGTAAATGCCCCTAATGTGCATCAATTCATACTAAAAAGAATTGAAAACAACAATAAAAAAAGATTCCAACATGGATGTAATATATTACCAACATCAACACAATTAAAATGACTAGTCCTTAAAATATCTGTGTTACAGTTAAAAGATTTTGTTTTGGGACATTTACATGCATAACACCCAATTCCTATGTATTAATGTATCTAACCCCTAAATTTTATTTTTTAAGTTTATACCACCCAAATCATTCATATCACATAAAAAATGTCACCGTTTTAACATTGAAAAAGTGAACTGCACATTTTCAAGCATAGCTAAGCTGGTATGCATGTAAAAAATGAAGTTGAGACGTTAGATATGTAAATACATATGAATTGAGTGGTATATATGTAAATCTTCCTTTTGTTTTTGCAGGAATCTAGCCCCCCACCTACTCTTTGGAGATAAAGGGGTAAGATAGCTTGATGCAAATTCAAGAATATAACATAAAGGTCATGTATAAAAAGGAATTTATGCTAAAAAACACACCAAAATTTGCCAGAACAATAGCTAAATGCAAATTCAAGAATATGACATACGCATATTGATATCTAAAATTGCAATTTCAGTAAAGAATTAAACCTGCTTCCTGTTCCAATCATACTGCCTTGCCACAACAGCAGGAGCAAATTGGAGGAGAACAAAGCCCTCCTTTGAGACCTTGAAAGCCCCAGACTGAAATCAAGCAAACTCATCAGTCATCATATCTATAACAAAAAAACTCAACTTTCCAAGCAAAGACTAGAGCTTTCTCGATTTCGAACAAAACTCACATCTAAAGGGGCAAACTCCGGTGGTTTTGGCTCAACTGATAGAGCGGCCTTCCCCTTGTAAATGGAGTAGCCGGCGTAAACCCTAGTAGGCTGAGCTGAGAATAAGAGTGGAGAACAACTAGCATCCACTGTAAAAACGATAACTTTAAGGAAGATAATGTCCCAAGTGCTTACTTGCGGGAGACTGGACAGCGAAAGAGCGTTCCTCTTTCGCACGAGGGGCGACCCTCTGCTGCTCGAAGTAGTCCGAGTGGCGGCAGCTCACATAGAGCTTCGTCTTCTTATTTAGGGTTAGGGTTAGTGTTTTGGGGATGGAAGTGTGGCTTCGAAGAAGATTTGGGGGGAAGAAGAGTGAGGGAGGTTGATGAGAGCTGCGGAGAACGGCTTGAGGCGGCAAATGCGTCATCTTGGGCCTGGTTTGCGCTTCGATTTGAAGCTGGTGCCTTGCAGTCGTTGGGATTTTATCTTCTTCGGATTGGGCGACCGTTTGTGCTAATAATTTTATTTTCTCGTTTATATATTTTAAATATTTAAAATTATCGAATTTTTGTATTTGTGATTGTTGATATGAAATAACTAAAGTTTCATAAAAAGGCATAATGATTGCCATTTGAATCTAATAAAATGGATGCATATTTTTATCATGTATTCATTTGATGGGTTGCATGTTATTTGTGGCATGTGTCGTTGTCCCCACTTTGGGAGGTCTCGGGGCTTTTTAAAATGCTCCGATAACAGCCCAACCACTTCTATATGACTCGCACGAGCCCTGAGGTACGATAGGTGAATATCTTACGTCGGTCAGGTGCAGGTTTCATTCTCTGGACGACACTGTAATGCCTTATGCCGGTGCAGGAGCTCGTGAGTTTCGGAGAGACGGAGTGCTGACATTCCATCAAAGCCTCACCACCCTACCACAACCTTGTGGCGCTCAATGACATGTTTCTTAAAGGCAGTGCGCCATAGGACAATCATCATCATGGCTTGTCGACGTGGCAATTGTCATGTCAGGAGTGCTCCGGTGAAATTGTTAAGCCTCAAGCCACGTTGTGCCTTTTTGCAAGCTAGATATTTGTCATGTTTGTAGTATTATGGCGTTGCATTGATTAAGTTGCCCTTTAAAATGGGGCAGCTCTTTGTTGCCCTGGGGTTTGCCTTCTTAAAGTCAAAACATTGGTGGTTTGATCTCGAGCTTATTTTAAAGATCTATGAGCGCCATCCCTCTTCCTCTTGTTTTTTTGTGTGTGTGCGCCTCCCTCCTCTCCTCGTTATCATGCCCTTCCAGTTACGATCGAGTTTTCTTAGTCAGCAGCGATTCTTTCTGCATTTATAGATGTTTGAGGTTCAGTTCCAGGAGCTTTTGAGTCAGGTGACTTCTTCGAAATTTGCATGCGTTGAATCCCTTTCCCTTTGCATATTTTTCCTTTATAAGAAATAGGCTTAGTTTTTTTTTTTTCAAACGAACTAGGCTAGGCTGCTGCTAGAGAATACATATGTTGGGTTCCTTGTGTTCCCCTATGTTGGTTATGTATAGGGCTTAGTTTGCCTCCATGTTGCGATGTCGTTCTTTAAACATTTTGACACAATTTTCCCCCTTTCTCGAATGTGAAAAAGGCTCATCATCCTTTTGAAGTACTTGACCACAAATTCAACCTGAGAGAAGTCGCGCATCAAAGCGATGGTGCGAGGCCATCTGATTTGGTTTTGCCTGGCATTGGATGCTGCTTTTTTGGTGGCATGGTACCAAAATCATAGGAACAGAATGCAGCATTGCTTCATCTTTGTGACCTTGAGTGGGTTTTCTTTCTGCTTTGGGCGAAGTCATGGCTTCACTCTTGTCGTCGCGACGTTGTCCTCTATTTTTATGTCTCGTGTCATGTCTCCCCTTTATTGGAACACATCACAGTTTCTTTCTAAGTTGAAATGCCTATCTCTGGCATGTCAATGTCGATAGTTACATGGGCTTCTGCCTTACTTTGTCACATTGCACAGTCGATGCATCGCTTGAAGCTCAATGCAACAAATATAAGACACCAGTTGATTAGTCAGCACCAGTTTTTATTATAATGAAGTTATCATCCTTTTGGTTATTGGCACATATTATTCGTGTGGGTGGTGGCCTACATTGAGTTGTTCGATCAAGTATTTCGATAGGGTACAATTATCCCCGGTAGATGGGTTTTTTATCTTTAAAAAAGACTGATTTAGAGACTTTCCTTCTCGAACCGTTGGTGCACCATTTCACATGGGTGGTGATTATGTTTGGTTCGACTTTTGTCGCTTGTCAGTGTCATTCTGCGTAAGCTCATTCTCTTTCATTTCTGTCATATGTAGATTTCCTGGTGAGGCGTGTAGGAAAGTGTTGGATTCATTCCACTACAAGGAGTGTGTGTATGTATTTTGTCTTTTAACTTATCTTTTGCATGTTATTGAAAATTTTTCTCACATTCTTATCATGCTTTTGTTGCATGTTTGTTGTTTCGCCCCCACCATATTTCACATTCATTATGGGATGAAAGGTGGGCACCCATGATCATTTACACGATCCCGTCGTGCTACACCTATGGGTCAAGGTCGCATTTTTCCTATGTTGTGTGGCCGCACATGGTTGATTTGAAAGTTTGCACTTCTTGAACTCACTTTTGTGATGCCCTCGTTGCATCAGCTTGCCTTTTTGCCTTATCTATGTCACCACTTTATGTGTCGTACTTTTGGGACTTAGTTTTCGTGCACTCGATTTGCATATTGTGCATTTTATGCATTGTGTTTTACTCTATTTAAGTGAACCATTTGTTTTCCTTTTCTTGGTTTAGGTTTCAATAGTCAACATGTTAGTGGCGATGCTTCAACTACCTGTAGTTTAACATTTGGTTATAATAGGAAAATGAGCATTGTGTGTTGGTCGATCTAGTTTGGCAATGTGAATTATCTTATTACATGTATGATACTTCCAAGCATAGGCCTACAAAGATAACCTCCATCAATGATTGTGGCGAGGGTTGGTTCATTCAAATGCTCGGGATGGGCCCATCTCGGTGACCCCATCAAGACTTTGAGGGACCCTTGGCCCCTGCACCACACGCCTTGCATTTAGATGTTGCTTAAGAACACCTTATAATTTTTTCTGGATCTTGGGTTAGGGTGTATTTAGGGATTTTCATGCACTGATAATGTTCTTTGTATTGTGTTAACTGTTTCAAACATTGAGTGTTTTTTGCATGCTTTACTAGGTGTGAGACATGCGTACTTGCATGCGTAGGGTGAACCTACACGGTGTCGTATAAAAAAGCAGGGGCTTAGTGATTTAGACACCCACATTTTCTGCAGGTGTTGCTTAGCTCTCCCCCCCAAAAGATACGACCTTTTATATGCTACATGATACAACTCATACTAACCTCTATTTTGCAGACGAGGCCTTTTATTATATATTCTCCTTGTACTATTAGAGTCCCTAAGAATAATCTATATTGGAAATAAGGTTTGAACACGAGAATTGAAGCTGAAGCACAGAGCTTGTAGAGAGAACCAAGATTTGTTTGTTCGTGTCTCATACCTTAATTTCATATTACACTTTTATTATATAATTTTTAGGATCGAGCATATATATGCAAAGCCCGACCACAACTTTTCTTTTATGGGATTGTAGCCGACCCGACAACATTGTTGGTCCCTTAATCATTTATATCAAGTGTTCACTTTTCAACGCCTTGCATGTGCTGACTCTGCTCATGTTTGTGGTTCATCTGGAAACAATTATGACTAAGCTCATTAGGATATATTATTTTATTATAAAAGTGTAATCTTAAGAGATTTATCCATAATAATATTTAAGACTAAAATATTTAAAATATTGAAATATATTTTTTTCCTCATTTTGTTTCCATACATGGCCTTTGTATCAAATTTAAAATTATCATATTACATGAATATTACCCCCAGACTTGTTAATAGGACATTAGCACTTAGGATTTCTTAGCTCAATGCATATATACCGCATTACACGAGAGAAGTACTCTTGCTTTCTAGTCCGACTCACCCAATATTTGCTTTGTATGATTAGATGGTAGCCTGATGTATTATAGGGTGTTAGAGGCTTTCTTGATCCATATGAGATTATAAGTCATTTACGGGGTAGCTTGGATTTATAGACTAGTCATCTTTTTTCTCTTCTTTCCTCTTGGTTCTTTGCTCGTACTATTGACATGTATGATCTCTATTTTGCTTTTGATCAACGTTAAAGTCATAAGGGTTCTGACGTTTCTTACATTTCGCTTCAGATCTACTAGATCATTTCGAATGATACGACACATTAACTACCGACGAAGTGATCCCCCACTGGGTTGGGTCAATTAACTTTGCAACTTAGTTGATATGAGGTCTCAATAGTCTGGGAGGAAGAGTCCATTGATCCCCGAACATGCTATATCTACCTTTCAAGGTTTTTCTTCAACATGCCTGTTGATTTACCCCCCTTTCGGGAACATTCGTCTCCTCTGTAGAGTCTTTGTGGACGAGTACTGTAGACCCTCTTAGCTCAACAACATCTATCCATCAGATTGAGGTGATTCATCGTTTGCTTGATAACCTAAATTTGTTATGATAATTGGAGGACTTCTCCCTTTGGGATTGTCAAAAATCTTATTGAATGACTATATTTCAAATGACTGATATAAAATAAATACAATACCTTTTATGTGGGTCTTCCTGGGTTTTCCCTTGGGATGTAATTGATCGCGATGACACGTCATCGTGAGCCTCTTGAACCCAAATCAAAATAAAAATGATTTTGTATTTTAGTTTGATTATGATGATCTTTCCATGACATTTTCCTTAATTTTTTTTTCTCAGGTTGAGCATGATTTTATTTATTTTGGACCCTTCATCTCCTACAAGTACTTTCTTATGTAAAGATCTTTATAACAACTTTTTTTATTTCTTCTTAGCATTTATTCAATTTTCATCCTAAACTTTCTTCTTTTACATTTTAAAGTGAGGGTGACTTGGAAATGACACACATTATAGAGTAATGACGCATAATATGGAGTAATGACACACACTATGAATTAATGAATTCATCTGCAGAACAACGACGAACACTATAGAGTAACGACACATAGTTCAAAGTAATGACATATTACAGGGTAAAAACACATACTGTGAAGTAATGAAGTATCATACTGAATAATGACACACATTTCAAAGTAATGAAGTATCATACAGAGTAATGCAATATTCTAAAAAATGTGCAACGAAGTATCCCATACATGATACATCTAAGACCCAACGATAACTCCGTAGTGCAAATGCTTACGATCGTTGTGCCCAAAATAAAATGATTTTCTTTAGACTCCTATAGTTCTCTCATTGCATCATATACCAACAATGATGTCTCAGGTGTAATAGTAAACCCTGAATAAGGTTGCACCTATCAACTGATGTAGGTCCAACTATCCCCTTAGTGGTCAACTGACGCTTTTGTTGTGACCCACTATGATCCATGTGGCTAATCACTACTGTAATTTTCCACAACAGTTGATGTGACTAACTACTGCCATTACATTCTTTCATTACAACCTTCATGATGACATAATGCTCTTCTTGTAACCTGCTACGACCATGTGACCAGTTTCCACTATAATTTTTCATTAATATATGCGTGACTAATTACTATCATTACAATATTTCACTATAACCTGTATGGTCAACTAACACTTTAGTTGCATCCCACTGTAGCCTGTGTGGTCAATTAATATTGTTGCTTTGCACTACAACTTACGTGACTGACCGTTATCATTGCAATACCCACCCACTACAGTTTTTGTGGCTAATTGGCGCTATACGATCTCCAATTTAACATTTGTGGCAAATTGACATTGTTGTAGTCTTTACCACGATCTTCATGGCTAACTAGCGCTATTATAATCTCCAACCATGGCTTACATAGCTAATTGCTGATATAGCTTCCAACTACAACCCGTGTGGCTAACCAACGCTCTTGCAACTATCAACTATGACCCATATGACTAATTATTATTTCAAGCATGACGTGTACTACAAACTTACACTATTATAATAACATTTATGACAAATTACCTCTTTTGCAAGAGATCAACTACAACATTTGCAGCCTAACTATGATTATTATTGTCTAGAACTGTAGTTTTTATATCCCATTCATGAATATGAAAGTTGGATTACTATTGCATATTTGTAATTATCAACTATGTAATTCCATATTTCATAATTCAGCAGAAGAGTAAAACCATGTACTTACAATTATATAGTTGATTACTTTTGATCACACTAGTCCTCGTGTTTTCTTTCAATTCTAGGGTTTTTCCACTAAAAAAAATCCAGGTGTCTCATCCTACAAATTCTTTATTATTCGCGTGCACTCAGATATTCATAAAATGCTAAGAGATTGAAATATCTCTCTGCCACTACAAATCTTCCGACACTCAACAAAGTTGAAGTTTTTTTTTATACAATTTAATTGAATATATGATTAATTAAGATTTATCAACAGAAACAAAAGCGATAATTATTATTCAATAAGTTCATTATAATTCTTAGTAACTATTAATTAGCTAAAAACAACTAATTAATAAATAATCAAAGAATATCAAAATATTAATTAATGATTCATTAGATTTAGTAACTATAATTAAGCTACATTTTATTAAATTAATATTCTCATGATATTTCTATAATAAATAATTTAATTTATAACTAAATTAAGAAAATTAAATTTTTAAAAATAATATGCTAATTGAGGATTTAGAAAGATTTAACAAACCTTTAAGCCTCATTATTTATTTTTTAATCCAATGAACCTAAAATTTATTAAATCCAAATTCACAGGATTTGCTATCAGATTCAATCCTATAAATTGCAAAATACCTCATGTTCGAAACAATATCGAAAAAATCTAGAATTATCTAGATTTCAGATTTACTCTCTCCGCATTCATCTTTTCCCTTTCGATGGAAAAGTTAAAGATGTATATACATCTGGACATCGAAAGTAAATTTACGTGCATCGATGTTCAATTAAAATTAATCATGTGTCAAAGTGGGCCCACAATATTTTAAATAATAATAAAAATTTCTATTTATGTGGGGCTCATATTGGCCTCATATTTTCACAGATTGCGTCCGATGTGGCTGACTCAATAGCCTCTTTTTAGGGTTTCAGACTCGAGGAAGTTACATCGATTCGGCACTCGCAAATATAAGAAAAGTTCTCAGAGAATAAACTCATCTTCTTCTCCGGAGTTGTTTTCGTTAACACCGGTATGGACGGCGGCGGGAACTCGCTCGCATCTGGGCCGGACGGGACGAAGCGCAAGGTCTGCTACTTCTACGATTCCGAGGTCGGGAACTACTATTACGGACAAGGCCATCCGATGAAGCCGCATCGTATCCGCATGACCCACGCTCTGCTAGCGCACTATGATCTCTTACATCACATGCAGGTCTACAAACCTAACCCTGCTCGGGAACGCGATCTATGTCGCTTTCACGCAGACGACTATGTTTCCTTCCTCCGTTCAATCACGCCGGAGACGCAGCAGGATCAAATCCGAGCCCTTAAGCGATTCAATGTCGGTGAGGATTGTCCTGTTTTTGATGGTTTGTACAGTTTTTGTCAGACGTATGCCGGGGGTTCGGTTGGAGGTGCTGTGAAACTCAACCACGGGCATGATATTGCGATCAATTGGGCGGGAGGTCTTCACCATGCGAAGAAGTGCGAGGCGTCGGGGTTTTGCTACGTGAATGATATAGTATTGGCGATTCTCGAGCTCCTGAAAAAGCACGAGGTATTGTTGCTTATTTAGCTCTGTAGTTTTCTTTTATAAGTTTGGTACATATCATGAATTTGAACTGCAATTAACAATATTTTTCCTTAAAATGTAATTTTGTTGGCTTTTAAATATTTTTACATGCATAGGAATTGTGTGGTATGCATGCATAGGAATTGTGGGGCATTTACAATATCATATGTATTTACATATCTAACAACTAAACACCAAATTTCTCATTTGTACCACCTTTCTTACGTGAAAAGGTGTGTTTCATTTTTTAATAAAAAAAAAAGTGACGTTCTTGATGTGATATGGGTGGTATGTGTCGTCCCCAATTGAAATTTGTTGTTTGTTTTGAAAATAATTTAATTTAATATATGTAATTTTGATTTTGAAAGTAATGTTTAATTTTAAATAGTTTAGATAATGGAGCACAATGCCACAAGTGATATCCAATCTCAAAAGATAAACGTATCACTTTTTATTAGACTTAACTATTAAACTAAGAAATTCATGGCTCTATTTTGGTCTGCGGAATATATGACCGAAAATTCCCCTGTCTAATATAAGAATTAGATAGAGTTTATATAATCCGAGGAACTAATTATCTCATAGAGGCATGCCCCCTTTGTTAATTACATCTCAGGCAGCCGATGTAACATAAAAAAAACTCTCGATTAAGATCAAGGGTTTCGTCTTCAAGAATTCAAAGTATAGTTTTGACGATTGTTTATAAGAAAATCAAGTGAGAATGACTCAATGTGACACTATTATTTTGGGAATCCAGAGGAGCGAAAGGTAGTAGATGTCACAAATTATGAGGAGAACCTCAATGACTTTTAGCGCTATCATATTATTTGGTTTTATGTCTTTGAAAGGGAAATTATAATGTTTGAATTCTATAATTTATTATAAATTCAGAACTTATGTCTGCACGACATATAATCATACAAACGATTAAGGGTGTAAACGAACCAAACACGAACGAACGATGATTGTGTTCGTGTTCGGTTCGTTTGAAATTTAGTTTGTTTGAAGTAAACTCGTGTTTAAAATTGTTCGTGAAGTCATTTTCGTGTTCGTTTCTTAACGAAGGAAACAAACACGAGTAGAACATGAGCTGTTCGCGAACGTCGAGCCACTTTGACACCCCTAATATTAATATATATATAAATAATTCAGAAATAATGAGTTGTTGCTCAAAGGTGACATTGCCAGACCAATCTGAAAAAGAAGCCGGAAAGTTCACAATATATGTATATATATATATATATAATTGTTTTAAATTATTTTATATTTCGAATAATAAAGATTCGAACACGAACGGACGCATCATTGTTTGTGTTTGGCTTGTTTAACTAACCGAACGAAAAAATTTTGTTCACGTTTGTCTCGTTTAATTATTGAAAGAATCGAACATAAACTCATTGATGGACCGAACACGAACTGTTCGCGAACAACGGACTTTTTGACAGCCCTACAAACGACCAAAGAAGATAAGAAGATTTATATTACCGAATGATAACCTCAAAATCTTAAAGGGATTAGGGCCTATATCGCACAACATACGATCATAGGAATGCCTGGAAGATAACGTGAGGATTTGTGTTGTGTCAGATGAACTACCTCGAAGTCCTATGAGTTTGTGTTGTTTAAAACTACAAAAGTTTAATTAAAGATCACCCGCCGCTTCGTGTTTTATCTTGCTCGTCACTTGAAGTCCTTTGTTGCTTGCTTCCTCGTCTCGCTTCCCAGAAGGCTTGTTCCTAGTTCCTTGCTGTCATGGTTCTAAATTTTGAGAAGTGTGTTTGAATTGACAAATGTTCGTTATTGTTGAGCCACTGAGTCTGTTGTAGTATTCTCATGAAACGGGCGTCCCACTGTTCTCTACTCTAGGTGTCTTTTACAGGTATAGTAAGTAACATAATAATAACATTACATGTGTAATCAAATAAATATATATACAATAAAGTGCAGTAGAAAGAAAATGCAATAAAAAGAGATTAGCAGTACGTACCTGCTACCACCAATTTTGCTGCAAAAAGGGTTAGTATCATAAACATAGTATGATAATGTGTAAGAAATTAAACAATTTAAGAGGAGATACGAGCGCATGTATTTATAAGAAAGTCGGTCGTTGCGTATATGGAAGATTAGAGCTAGCTATAAGACTTCAAGTTACGTATAGACTCATAATTCTTGACTAACATCCATAGACAACTATAAGCAATTTGTGTGCTTTGTCCCGTCCAACCTTGGGCAGAAGCTACAAACAAAACAATTGAAAGAGGACAATTCCTAGCACGCTCAAAGTGATTACCAAGTTAACTTGTATAGGATAACATTCAAAATTCTTAATTAATCGGGCATATAAAGTTAAATTTTTTACTTAACAATTAAAAATAGTTATTATCACAAGAAAAATATATTTTTTTTGTTGCTATGTTATATATGAGTGTTTTTCAAATCAGATAGTCCACAAGTTAATTACTATGATCAGACTAGAGCTACGGACAATCTAGGAAGGCAATGATAACTTCTTACCAAGTGTTAGTGAATAGTAACATCGATCTTGCACTCTTATGAAGGTCCTCGGGTCAGGAGATACTATTATATTATCCCACTTTTAGCTTCCGAAGTGTTTCACATTATTGCCTTTAACTCCGAACCATCCAACTTATTGCCCCGTTCGATGATCCATATATCATTACACTATGCATATTTCCACTCATATCTGAATATAATTGATATTTAGGTAAGCACATAAAACTGAATCATCGAGCAAGAAAATCAAGCCACAACGGCATTCGAACATCTTCCAAAACAATAAAACACTCAACCCAAATGACATCCCTTAAATCCTCTCCATAACTTTAAACGTTCAGCTCAAGAAAATGCATCTAAATCCTCCAAAACAGCACTTATTTGTGACCAAGTATAACCTTTAAATCTTCCACAAAAGCAATAAAAGTTCAGCCCCAAAAGGGGCACCAAAACAACATTTAATCAGCTTAAAACAACAAGTAATCAACCCCAAACGAGGCATTAGAACCCTTCCAAAGCAGCCATAATATAGAGAGCAAAAACAGTTCTTAAACCCCTCCAAATCAGCATTTAATCAACTAAAAAACATTAAAATCTTCTTCAAAAACAACACGTGTTCAAACCCAAAAACATTTAAATCTTCCCCTTAGACAACAATGATATTGAGTTAAACAGCGAGAATGTTGGGCCAAAACAGCATCCAAAACCCCCTCCGAAACAGCCAAGGTATCGAGTTAAAGCAGCTAAAACATTGGGTCGAAGCAGCACCCAAACCTTCTCCAAACAACGGAATGGACGAGAGTTACAAGGCATACCACAAGAAAGCCGAAAGCAACCTAACCGCAAGAGATTTCATACCAAATCGATGAGCTTCAAAGCTCTAATTAGTATGAAACATGTAGTAAGAAAGCCAAAATAACATACCACGAGCCTTTTCTATGTATAGTATACACAAAAAAAAAAAAAAACTCCCATTAAATCAATATCAGCAAACTGTGAAGCTCTACCCTCAACATACCCCCTCGATCGGAAGGCGAAACAAACAATTATTTGTGAAGGGGCGGGGGGGGGGGGGGGGGGGGGGGGGGGGGTAAGATATAAAAATCTGCTTATGTATATGTGTTCACCTCAAGTGCTATATGTGTAAATACAGGTGAAAATTAAGAAATCTGCACATGTAGTTATATCTGTCTAGGTAACAAACATAAAAGAAACCAAATTCTGCATACATCTACATCCGTATTTAGGAATATGCAGCTGCTTTATGGATACAGAGGCAAAAATCTGCACACATACATGTTAACTTCAAGTGCTACATGTGTAAATAACAGTGAAAATAAAAAAATCTGCATACCAACCATCCAATCCTTATGTATTTATACTACTCCATTCATATATATAAAAAAAAAAAAACATTTCGCATCCTAATCTAGAAAAGAATGAAGGTGGTGCTTAAACAATTATATAACATGAGCCATCTTAATGTCAGATCTTTTGGATGTAAGTACATGAGAAGTGGCTAGGTATGCATATGAACATGTGGGAACTCTACAAAGGTTCTAGATTTTTTTGTTTTTTTAATGTAAATATTCAACCGAAGCATATAAAAGTTTCATATTATTTTCTATTTATTTTTGTCCCCCCCCCCCCCCCCCCCTTTTTTTTTTTTATTTTATTTTTTTTTACATAAGTGACTACAAAAATAAAAAAAATATGTTGGGAATGAAGAATATCATAATTCCAGGGTACATAAGCATTGAATTTAATCCAACTCTCCCAAACGAAAGCCGTCGCATGCTCAAACTTAAATAGAACAGAAAATGTTTCAGACCCCCATAGACAAATCATCAATACCCATCAAAACCAGGCCATCTCACTTTTGGAGTTCTCAAAAAAAAAAAAAAAACATCAAAACTTTTAGATTTCTCCAAGAAACGCCATAACGTTCAAATTTTTACGAGTAAACTAACGAAAGAAAAAAAAAACTTGCAGATTTCCACTTTTTTTTAGGTTTCATGTGAGTGTACAGTCTTTTCAGATTTTTTTTTTTTTTTAAGAACTTCTCACATTTCCTATATATGAACACAAAATCCATGGGGTCCCCCCCCCCCCCCCCCCCCAACACACACACACACACACAACACCCTAAAAAAAAACCTTGCTTCACATGCTTAAATGAATGCAAAAGATCCCCACGACATAAGGCAACAAGAAGAAATAGCTGGGGGACATCCCTTTTATCAAGCTTGAAAACCAGACTTCTCAAGGAGGTTCTAAGAAAGTGCAAGTCCTTCATGATCCATAAATCAATTAAACCTCTAGCTAACTATATTGAAAGCGGTCAAGAGAAAGTATAACAACCATCTGTTGTAAAGAGAAGAACGAACGAGTCTCCAGTAAAGCTAAAAGACCGAGCAAACATGCAACTAATCCAGGAAACTGAGCCACCAAACCCAAAATCATGCGGAAGGATATGGCGAGATACAGGAATAACCTCAATAGAATCATATTTCGAAGAATTCAACATCCCTATTGTTTTTTATTTAATAAAATAACCCGAGATTTATGCATTTAGGTTGAAAAGATGAAAGCTCGCATCCACCATGAATTTTATCAAAGAGCAGTCAAGCGAGCAATGATGCCGTTTATTAGCTGAAAGAGCCTACTACTCAGAAGGAAGAGGCCATAAAAAGAGGAGAGGTAGAGTTCTTACCTCCTGATATGCAAGAAATTTAAGCATCAGAAGCCCTAAGCCCAAAAGCTCCACAAACACCAAAACTTACACACACGACACGTAGAGAGCCAACAACCTCAAATCTCTCCTCCATAGGGGATTTTATAGCCAGTAGGGAGAAGGGATTTTATCTTCACTTAACTGGGGTGAGTTGAATGCTACAACTATCGGAAAAGTGGCGACAAGGGCGCGCAGAAGAAGTGGCGAGCAGAGGGCGTCAGAAGTGGCGAGCAGAGGGCGTCAGAAGTGGCTAGCAAAGTGCGCAGAGGAACGAGGCTCAGAGTGATGGGGACTAGAGTAGTGTAGGAAGATGCCGGTAGAGAGGGGAAGAGGGAGTTGAAGCTTTTAGGGCTTTGATCAAATGGGGGAAGCGAGGTTTCAGCTGAACAGGGAGAAGAGGCGTGAGTGGTTTTTTTTCTTTCGCTCCCCTCTTTTTTATTTAATGCATTTTAACGTTATTATTTAACTTAAAACTCATCGATTTGCACGTAATTCGATTCTATCCAGAACCCTACCAATATGAATGTCCTTCTTGGGTAAAATCGACGTTTTGGATGCGCTCGCTCGGTCCGTTTCTTCATCTGGAGTCGTTCAAACAAGTTGGTTGAAAATTGACTCAATATGAGTCCAATTCGCGCACGACGCAGAAAGTGAAGTATTTAGTCCGACCGAAGTCGTTTAACGAGCAAAGTGCTGATCGGTCCTTACCTAAGCAACAACCAAAGTCAAGTAGACTGCTCTCGGCAGCGAGTCGCTCGTCGTACTCTCTGAGATTTCCTTATGGCTTTTCTAATCCCTATAGGCACTTGACTTTAGTTTCAATATGTTGGTTTTAATCGGCTCAACTAAACATCAATGATTCGAAACCAACTATATGAGATTACAAATAGTCAATAAATGACTCAAATTTTTAAATAATGTGGGTCTCAGTACTAGTCATCTAGGAACCTTAAAATATGAAATCTTAAGGCTAGATTCTTGGCTCCAGGGAGAGAAGAGAAGACCTAAAAAATGAGGTCAATGGTATAAATGTAAAAAAAACAAAATTTAGGTGTGACATGTAAATATAGAGGAGTTGGGTGCCATATATGTAAATTCCCTTTAGTTATCTATGAAAATAAGAATTTATAGGTGTACTCTTGTTAAAATTAGGAAGGTTATATTGTGAAATTATGTTATAAGAGGAATTGTGAGAGTGATACGTACTGAAAATAAGATGGAGGAAATAAATTTAAGTGGTATAGGCATGCATAATTTACGGTATAAGATGTAGCAATTATTAGAGTAGAGATATTAATGTGGAAAGATTATGTAGGCAAATAGGTAGATCAATGGTAATGAGGGTTGAAGTGCATAAAATAAGTTATACAAGTTAGATTTAACATCTTAAGTCAATGAATGAGGAATCATAAACCCTAAATCAAATGGTCGAGATAATGATAATGTTCATAATGGTTAGAGTTGCAATCGAGTTGAGCCGAGTCGAGTATGTCATGGATTAGACTTAGCTTGATCGAACCATAAGTTGTTCATGTTCAGTTCAAGCTTGAGCCGAACTTTAACATATGTGTTCATACTGATTTGTTTAAATTTGTTAATGTTCATACTTGTTTTTTACTTGACTGCTTATATTAATTAAACAAGCTAAAAATTTAAATGAGTGCATGATTTTTAATATAAAATTTAAAATTAATTTTTACTTGATTTTTTATTAGTATGATGAGTCAAACTCAACTTATTCTGTTACTTTCCACATTCAATAAATAATCATTACGATGAATTAATTAGACTTCACTAATAGATCATTCAGTGACTCTTACAAGCCTTTGCAAAAGTTACAATATTTTTGCCGACTCTTACACTGCAACCATTGCCTTAGTGAGTAGACCATCCTTTATTCTGTGAAATTTACATACGTAGCCTCAATTCTTATGCGTTTACATGTAACTTTCATATTTACATATATGGCATTTTAGTGCTTTAACCTATTCATGAAAATGTATATTTCACTTTTTAAAAGTGGTAATAGTGTTATTTTTGATCTGATATTAATGATTTGATTGCTATGTGTGTAAATATGAAGGTTTATATGTGAGATATGTAAATACATAAGAATTATGTGCTATGTATTTAAGTGTCACTTTTTTTTCCCGTTTATGCCCAGTGCAGTTTTAAGATGCCTGCATCTTTGACCAGTTCATTTAAGCAAGTGATCTTTAGCATATTTGATTTGAAACTTTGTTCATCAATCCATATATTTGACCGGATCATTTTATAATTACAATTGTTTTTTTTCTACCTGCTTTACTTTGTGGAGCATATTTAGGAATCAGATGTATCTTTTAGACTTGTACCTTTTCACTGAGTTTATTTTTCTATACTGCAGCGTGTTCTGTACGTTGACATCGATATCCATCACGGAGATGGTGTGGAGGAGGCCTTCTATACAACTGATAGAGTAATGACTGTTTCATTTCATAAATTTGGGGACTACTTTCCCGGAACAGGAGATATACGTGATATTGGGCACGGGAAAGGGAAGTATTATTCTCTTAATGTGCCGCTCGATGATGGAATTGATGATGAGAGTTATCACTCACTATTTAAACCTATCATGGGAAAAGTGATGGAGCTTTTCAGTCCCGGTGCCGTAGTTCTTCAGTGCGGTGCGGACTCATTATCAGGAGATAGACTCGGCTGTTTTAATCTTTCCATAAAAGGGCATGCTGAATGTGTGAGATATATGAGATCTTTTAATGTGCCTCTTTTGTTACTTGGTGGCGGTGGATACACGATTAGGAATGTTGCTCGTTGTTGGTGCTATGAGGTATTGTAGAAAAAAAATTCTCTTTAAATTTACTTTCAAATCTGGTAACACTAGTTTCCTTTTGGGAGGAAAAATTATATTATGTAATTTTTAGGTGTCTAGTTTGCTTCCCTGAGCATTATAAGTTTATAGGAATATTGATTTATCCGTTTAGTTCTATCTAATTTTGTCAATGTCTAATTCTATATGTTTGTTGGTTTCCATGGAATTTCACTCTTTTAATATTAGCTTTTATGTTAGTGGTATTAAGTTAATTGCATAGACATATAGGGAATTTGTTAGATCAATTTTTCGGCTTATAGAAATCTGATTTTTATTTATAACAATAAACAAGTTTTTTGTTTATTTTCTTGTAAGGCATCTCATCAAAAAATAATCGTGCATAATTTATTTGTTTTATTTTTAATAATTGGTTTAGTTATTTTGTTATTTCTGCAACTAATAACATGCCGATGATGATGAATGATAGAGGGATGTCTTTTTATTTTGAAGTATTGTGCTAATTTATATGGTTTTACATGATTTCAATTTTGATTCATTTTAAGCTAAGTTCCTCAAAGTGTAAATATTGTTGGCATCGGGTGAATGTTAAGTAGTTTATTTGTGGAGTTCTCTGGTTCCTAAATTCATAGAGTTATGGTTTTGGGATCATTTTCTCGAGTTTTTTGGTTAATGGTTGTTTGATTTATTATTTAGTAATATACGGAGGATGGTTGTTGGTTTTATTTTATTTATCCTTTTGGAATCATGAAGCCGTTATTTATCCTTTTGGATGATAAATTGAGAGTTTGATTTATTTTAGTGCAATACCCAACTCTTGGGTGATTTCATCAGATGAAGTATTTGGTGATGGAATTATGGAAAAAGAGCAGAATGCTTATTTTTATTTGCTGTTGTGATAAATAAAGGTGGATAAATGATGCATTTTGGGTTTGTATAAGTTAAGGAGGATGGTATTCCCAAGGTGGCCCGGAGCTATATTGGAGATAGGGCTATCAGAAAAGTTGACCGTTTGCGAACAACTCATGTTTGACTCGTTGAGTAGTATGTGTTTGATTCGTTCGTTAAGTAGGCGAGTCGAAGGTGAACTTATTTTTTTGAGCTAGATTAATAAACGAGCCGAATATGAACAAACCTTTACTCGGTCGTGTTCGGCTCATTTTTGGATCAAATTAATTAAATAATTATAAAAAATAATATTTAATTGACTTTTATATATTAATTTTAAAGTTGTTTAAAAAATGTTAAAATCTATTCATTTTTAAATTAATTGAGCTAAATTTGAGCGGAACATGAGCTAAAATGAACAAATGAATTGAAATTTTGCCTAATAGGAACATGCTAGCGACGGGCCATTTCTAACATCAACCACTTTTAAATAAAATATAAAGTTCGAACAAGCCGATCATAAAAAAAACATTAGGCTCGCTCAAGTCTCACTCATTTATGACCCTCGTTTAAAGGTTTACATAGGTTTTATATGTGTAGAGGACGAGATATACGGGTTGAGGGGATTGTTTGAGAAGATTAGGAGAGCGTGATGGATCAAGTATAAGTAATTTTGGATGTGATTAGATGGTAGAAACGGAGCTTATAGATTGACGATAGGGGATGGCTTGATTATAAGTATTTTTGGATGTGGATAAATGGTAAGATGGAGCCTAGGGGCTGAATATAGGTGATAAGGCCTTGGAGGCTTTTGCAGGTGGTTGAAAGCCGATTTATGGTTATGGATTATAGAGACCAAAAGCTTCAAAGAGTGGGAGAACTTTTGCTTGTGATGGTGAATGACAAGGGGAGTTTTTACAAGATTAGAAGATATGGAAAATATGATAAATCAACAATGCAAAACATAAATTGCAGGAGGTAAATTAATCTTCTCGTAAGAATTGGGCAAAGTATGTTAGTGAACAAACACCAAAGATCTTGGTAATAAGCTTCCGCCTAACAAATAGATAATTTCTCAATTTTCATCCCATCATCAATTCCTTCATTGCATTGTTCTTTAGCCAATTATAGGCATTGCATCATGAAGAAAATAAAAATCACATAAAAGAAGATAATGGGACGATAAACTAAGGGGGTTGATTTTAAGGAATCAAAGGTGGCTAAACCACTCTCCATTCGCGCATCTCATGGAAATCCTTAAGACCATCTTCACGACTTTTGCAGAACCATATAAATATTGTGTTACTTGATCCTCCATCAAATTTGTTCTTGTATATAATGAATCTTGCATGGCTTGGAGTGAAATGGGTGGTTGCATAGCCACCTTTACACGAGAATAGTATAACACTTTCTTTTTCATCGTTACTCATAAATTCATTGAAAATAAAATAACAAAATTGAAAACAAAAGTACCATAAATTTATTAAAGTCGAGCCATGCATGATTGTTTGATAGTCCAAAGGTTCCAAAAGCTTTATTATCTTGTTAGAAATTAAACTCTTACCCTGCATCATCTCTTTTGATCAATGCAAGATTTGAATTTTTATTTTTTTTTCATATTGTCTTGGTTAGTTTTCTTGATATTGTTCTAAATCAACACTTTGGGGACCCAATTTTTAAAGTTTCTTGTGTTATTTTAATCATTTATGAATCGATTGATAATTAAGGTATTGCCTGTTTACGTGCAACAAAAGCAAGTTTTTGAATTAATTGGTGGTTCGTGATCTATAAATTAGCTAGTTTGTTTGCATGAGGTTGTATTATATATCATATTTGTTGTGTTATTGAACCAAACGATTTATATTTGTTATGAAGATAATATTACAGTCAAGATATTAATGCAATCAGCCGTGAAATTTGTTTACCAACTTCATTACTAGAGCTGCAAATTTTTTTATTTTCCTTCAGTTCTTTGTTTTCTGCGTCTGGATTTGTAAACATGTGGATTGAATTTTTTATTTAGGGAAATTTATATGCATAAAGCACAATTCTTATATATACTTACATATCTTACACCTAAACTTTCATTTTAACATACATAGAACTTTGGTGCTTTAAACCTATGCATGAAAATGTGTATATTGCTGTTAAAAAATGGTAATATTACTCTTTTTGACGTGATATTAAAGATTTGAATGACGTTTGTGTAAATATGAATGTTTAGGTGTGCGATATGTAAACACATTAGAATTGTGTGCTATATACGTAAATGTCTATTATTTAATGCCTGATTGGAAGGTTTTTTTTTTTACTGAGGATTTCTTTTTGAGATCGGTTTGATTATATTTTTTATTTGGTGGGAGATTGCATTTTTTAATGGGCTGATTGGGTTTTTTTCCCCTTTCGAGCAGACAGGGGTTGCTCTTGGTGTTGAAGTTGATGACAAGATGCCTGTACATGAATATTATGAATATTTTGGTCCAGATTACACTCTTCATGTTGCACCAAGTAACATGGAGAACAAAAATTCGAGGCCAATGCTGGATGAAATACGAACACAACTTCTCAGCCATCTTGGCAAAATCCGGCATGTTCCGAGTGCCCAGTTTCAAGAACGCCCTCCAGATACAGAGTTCCCTGAGGTAATTATTCTATTTAGAGAAAATTTCTTACCAAGCACACAATTCTCACATATTTACGTATCTCGCACCTATACTTTCATATATACATACAACGCACTTGGTGCTTTAAATCTATGAATGAAAATGTGTATTTCACTTTAAAAAAGTGGTAATAGTGTTATTTTTTATGTGATATTAATGATTTGAGTGCCATGTATGTAAAGATGAAATTTTAGGTGTGAGATATGTAAATACGTTAGACTTGTGTGTTATGTATGTAAATTCCCTTTCTATTTAATGCAACAACTATCTAGCTGCTCTCTGAGTGGCTTCTATTTTTTATTTTAATTCTTTTAATTGTGATGATCTATATTACTTTCGAAGGTTTTCTCATTTGAAACGGTGTAATTTACACCAGCAGATTATGTTAGTTTTCATGTAGATAGGCTGGTAGAAGAAGAGAGGCCTTTAATCTCTAGGAGCAGATTTCATAAAATTTATTGTTGGGCAAATAACTTATAGGTTTATGTGTTTAGTTTTGTCACATGCATATTTTATTAGAGCTAAATACAATATACTAGAGGGAGCAGAGTCACCATTTTTCTCTCAATTAGATTTTGTTGTTATGATTGCGGTCTGAGGGGTATGTATTTAGGAATTGAGGTGTATGTATTTAAATATTTCAAAAAAATTCAATGGATAATTCATTTTTGCTTCATATGGTAATCGTGGTCTGAGGCTTTCAGATTGGCATAATTAAAATCATGGGCTCATGATGATATTTTATCAGATTATCGATTGTTTGGATTGGTTAAATACTTGGGGTGAACTTGATTTTTTGGGCGGCTTCACTGTATCATCTGATCATCCTCATTTTCTTACTTACTCTAGATAATTGTAAAAATTGATGAATAATAATTCACAAGTAATTTATGCTGTAAATAATATCAACATTGTGATCTTGAATTTGAAGCTTTGTAAAGGGTTATATTTGAAAATTAAATTAGGAGACTTGTCATTCTTCTGAGAGTCTTGAGAGAAATGGACATTGACCTTTTTTAGTAGGAGAAAGCTCATTTTTTCTTTTTTTGTATTTATCATCTCATCCATCCTTCAAATTCAAGATCACACCATTGATTTTCTTCTATGCTGTGAAATTTATCATAAAAATTAATGCCTTTAATTCAAAGCCATTTGAAACACCATACAATTAAAATCACAATTTGCTTATGCAATTGAAACATCAACTGATAAAAGTTTTGTGGTGGGCAGCAGATATCATTTAATTAAAAAGAAGTTCAATTAAATAATAAAGTCTTTTTTTTGTAATACTTGGAAAGCTTAAATTGAGTACTCCATGGAGGGTAACCCATTTATATTATGGGGCATTTACATACATACCATCCAATTCTTATTTATTTACATATATAATGGCTAAACTTTATTTTTTACATTTTCCACCCAAATCTGTCATATTACATAAAAAACCACCATTTTAAGTTTTAAAAAGTGAAATTCACCTTTTCATGTATAGCTAAGATGGCATTTTTTGTAAAAATTGAAGTTTAGGTTTTAGATATATAAATAATAAGAATTGAATGGCATATATGTAAATCTTTCTTATATTATTTTGAAGAAGTTATTTTTTCAAGGAAAAGCTTAGATATTGTACTAATCAATTGTAGTTGTAAGATGACTTTTCCATGACTCCACTAATTTGATCCTCCATTGGTGGAGCTTTTCTAGCTACAGGGCTACTGGGATTGCCTCGCTACTTCTTCCTCCTCCCACACTTTTTTGTTTTGATACCATTTTTAAAAAAAATTCTCTCATTATTCTTTTTTCCTTGCTCAAATTTTTAATCTTTCATTACTTTTTTCCATCTAATTCTCGAAAAATTGCTGAGGATTTCCAAGCTTAATTTGCCTTGATCATCTCCGAAGCTGGTGTCCCCCGTGAATAGCTGCCGCGTGAGCTTATCCATAAGTTGTTTACTTTTGCAAATGTTGGGTGGGTTAAGTGTTGCTATGTGAAACAGTAAATTATGTCGGTGACTGATATCTTACTCATAAAAAACTCAAGGGAGATTTACATACGTAGCACACAATTCTTATGTATTTACGTATCTCACATCTGAACTTACTTATTTTCATACATAGCGTTTTGGTGTTTTTAACACATGCATGAAAAGATGTATTTTATTTTTAAAAAAGTGATAATAGTGTTTTTTTTTATGTGATTAAAAACTCGAGTGCTGTATGTGTAACTAGGAAAGTTTAAGTGTGAGATATGTAATTACATAAGAATTGTGTGCTCTGTATATAAATGCCCCAAGTTTTAAACTTTTCAGCGTCATTGTGGTTCTACCACTGTTTTATATCTCAGATGCTGGCTGTCGCCCTGATAGCTGTGGGAATTTCTGTGGTTTTGTGGTGTGATAGAGGGTTTAAGATCTTTGTATATGGTGAATGTTGATGAAGGATGACATTTGAGGCAATTGGTCAAAACTGAAAAACCGTACTGAATTAAATATATTTGGTTGATTCGGTTTGGTTTTAAATAATGATTCATTTTTTTGTTTAAAAAATAGAATATGGTTCTTTTCTTTTGGATTGGCTGTCAATAGGGCACAATGGAGAAAAATTATTCATGTAACCGACTCCACTTTGTGGGATAAAGGCTTGTTGTTGGTTTTGGACTTGACTTTAATATTTATTATACCAAAATAAACCAAAAAACTGAATAATATTTGGATTAAAAATTTAAATTCATCCGGAAAGAAAATAAATTGAGCATATGACATTTATTTTAGTATAACTTGAAATTTTTAATTTTAAAGAGATGGCAAGGAGATTAAAAAAGAGGAATCAAATTTTTATTTTGAAATAGAACCTCATGTTTTAGTTGTTTTGGTTTGAATTGGAACTAAATGCTGAATTTCGATTTTGCTCCAAACCGAACCGATTAATTCAAATTATATTTCAGTGTGGTTTGGATTGGCTCTAGCAAAAGTTTAGTTGGTTTGATTTGGATTGGTTTCAGCAAAAGTTTAGTCGGCTTGATTTTTTAGATTTTGGAGTTCAATTTCATTTGGGTAATTGTAAACAGATCTTTCCATATTAAATATTAAACGTTTGCTTCTTTGTTTTTTTTTTGTTTTGTTAAGTATAAATTGTAGAAACAATTAGTTTTTATCCTCAAGGGGTTGTGTTTAATTTTTTGTTTGGTTTGCAGCCCGATGAAGATCAGTATGATCCAGATGAAAGGAATGATCCAGATTCGTATATGGATGTGGATGATATGAGGCATCTTGATGAAACACCTCGGTGATGTCTTCATTCTTCAGAATTCATACCCAATCTCTCTCTCATTTCCCTAATTTATGTTTTTGTTATCATATATTACTCTTAATTCCTTCTAACAGATCACACTTTGTTGCAGAAAATTTGTTTCAAATAATATCCAGAGTGTCAAAATAAAAAGGGAAAATTTTGAAAATGAATCAAACGATCAGGTAAATCATTAATTTTAGATTCATCTGCATATGTCCATACTTTTATTACTGGATAACAAATTTTAAATTGAGTAGTACTTTCAGCTATACCAGAGAAGTGCCAACTTTGTGGAATTCTTTTTCTTATTTAAATTTTACAATCCATGAAATTTCAAAACATCCTTTTAAAATTTGTCGCCATTATAAGAAGATATTTATTTATATTTTCAATAAAATTGAGGCTGTACTCTTTGGTTCTCTTTTTTCTTTGTTTTCCCCTCCCGTGGGCAGTTTTTGTTGTGAAATGTAAAATATCATAAGAGATTCCAGTACTTTTAAAATTCGAGTATGAAACCAAGAATGTTTGACATACTATGAAACCTTCTTTATA